AATCTATTCACCACACTTTGCAAATCTGAAAAATGCAATTGTCACTAAAATGTTTAAAATGAAAAAGGAGGTACATAGATTTTTGAAACTTATGATAAATCAGTTATAATCAAAATCATTGCCATTCCTCAATTTTGCTTTTTGAAAAATATCTCTTATTAGCCACTGTCTCTACAATAAAAACATTATTCATGAGAGTTTATGTTAGGAATGACAAATTTGAAAAATTATTTGCTGCTTTACATACCACTTAGGGACAGTGTGCTGAACTCTGCTTTATAAACATGTCTTTATGTGCATTGCTGTTAGATCTTATTTTAAAAGCTTTTAAGTTCTGTTGGTTAACGTTCTGAGTGTTAGGTAAAAGATAATCATAACATCCATGGAAGTTCACAGTCAGGATAACCTGGCTATAGTACACATCTTTGTTTTTTGTTTAGTCACCTCCATTGGTAGACATGATTTCTGGAAAATAGTACTTCCTTTTCATAAAGATGTTCATTTTATGACTTAACAAAGGGCAAGGGATTTCATAATTTAGATATCCAATAGACACTGCTGTAAACTTCAATATAGTCAGAGTTGTAGTTATGCTAGAACTGAAGACTCATATTGTAAATTAGGGTTGGATTTAAGATTGCAAACTATAATCTGGAGACAGGTAATGCCCAAGTGTTATAAGGGCTTGTAGTGTGTAGTGATAATTTCCACATGTTATAAATTAGAATAAATGGCTTCTGTTTAGTGAATTTTGACACTAGCAAACAAAAGCAATGAGCTTTTCTTTTTTAAAATATTGAAGCTAGACTGTTTTAATATTAAAGTTTAAAATTTACTTTTTTCCCAAAACTAATCAGAAATGGTTTCTGTTCTTTCCCTTAGGTAAAGAGGAGTATTTTTGCTTCACCTGAGAGTGTTACTGGCAAAGTTGGAGTAGGAACTTGTGGAATTGCTGATAAACCTATGACACAGTATCAAGATACCTCTAAATATAATGTCAGGCATTTGATGCCTCAATAATCAGAAAAACTGTTGGATTTCATCTCTGCAGGGCTTTACATTTACCTTTTTATTCTTATATTTTTCTAAAGGTAAATTATTTGTTAGATGAGTAAGGAAGATACCATTGTTGTCATTGTTTGACTTCAATAGAATGAAACTTGAAGAAATTGCATTTGATAATTGCTATTCATTTAACTTTTCATTTATACTACCACAGTTCCCTCAGAGTTTGTTGATAAGGCAACTTTTCTAGATAGATGCTGCTTAAATCAGCACTTAAAATGAATTGTTGATCTTCCTAATATCAGGCCTCCCACTTGATGGTGTAAACTTTTTGTAAGTCATAATTTTAATTTTCAAACACTTTGAACTTGACACATATTCTAGAAATTCATTTGGAACATCAAGACAAAACACCAACTTGCTAAGGAGATCTTTTTGGGTTTTTCCCCCTTTGTCTTCAACTTTAAAACTGAGCTCTTAACCAGACAAGCCAAAATATGGGTTAATTTGTAAATGGTAAAGTTTGTTTGAGGTTTTTTTTCCTTAAATAAGTTGTTTTCTAAGCCTGTACGCCATCTCTTCAAAATTGATCTAGATTTTACTTTTATTCACTGAGTTAGTTTTATGTAAGAAACCATGTTAGGATGAGCTACCTTTCTAAGGTGTTTTTTGTTTGGTGTTTTGTGGTTTTGTATGTTTGCTTTTTCCTTTGTCAGTTTTTCACATATGGTTAGTGGTACCATTTTTGGATGTGTAATGTTTATATGGGAAAACAAAAAGCTGATGTATAGCCCTGTATACAGTGTAGATACTATTTTTGTAAAAAACCAAGGCTAAATTAATGAACAAGAGTACTGAATGTTTCATCATTAAAATTTCTTGTATTTCTTGTGCATTAATCTGACCATAATTTCCCTGTATATTATGTTCATGTAGCTGAGTTTTTAATTTTTATTAACTAGATCAAGTTGCCAGCATTTGTTGGTGTGACATCAGTTATCCTGAGTTGAGTTAAAGCCAAATACATGCATAGAAAAGGGTCTTCCTATTAATGGGAGATGATTTTTAGAATGTGTGTTAATTTCAGTTTTGTATGTTTAACTTTTATTAAATAAAGTGTTTTTAAAATCTCCAGGGTGTGTTAACAAGAAGATGAAGTCTTTAGCTTTGACATGGTGATTAAGCCTCAATCTTGCACACAGAATTGCCACTAAAAAGAATTTTGATTATGGGATAAAGGTTTCAGTAAATCCTTAAGTATTCCTTCCATTAGACATTAAGAGTTGGATACTAAGGATTGCCTAGTTTTATTTTATTGGCTTGTGCTATGAATGGGGTATTCACAAATTTTTGCACAAGGGGAAAAATTGAAGTTTTTATTTCACAAATTTTAATTTCATTAGTAAATTGAGACTTTTAGGATGGCGGTAAGAAGTAGCATTCTTTTCCTTCCTCCAGACCCCAAAACAGGCATAGAGAAAAGGCTACTTAAACCTGAAAACTTAGAAATAAAAAATTTTGAAGTATACTATTATTCATCTTTTACCATTGTAACAAACATCTTTTAAATTTTTATTAGAGATTATTCAATCTTAAGATTGAGATTCAGTAGCTGCATGATTTTCCCATTGTAAAAACATCTTAAGAGCATAACTAAATAACCAGTAGTAGCCTTAAAAGATAACAAGATAATTATTTGAATGAAAATGTACTGGCAAGAAATTTGCTGTAATTATGTGACCCCAGTTATGTTTTTTATTGAGATTATCTTGTTATGTTTGTTGGGATAGTAGTTCACTTGGTGTTTGTATAGACAATACTATTGGAACTGAGACTTATTCCTCCTTTAACCCTAAAGACCTTCCTTTCTGCATATGAATTTTCCTGGAAGGCTTTGCAATAGGATAGAGAAAAGGAATAAAAGTAACCATATCATAACAAGTATTTGTTTAGAAAATAGGAGCCATACAGAATAAGATCAGGACCTCTTGTGTCAAAGACCTGGATATGGCCCTTTGGAAAATCCTAGTGTCAGGAAGGAAGATGTTGGTGTCTCTGGACTAAACTGAAAGAACTTATGGGGAGATAATACCTGCCACAGTTCGATGCTGAAGTTGAGAAAATACTTAATGAGAAGCATGATAGCAATAGTATTTTACAAATGAAAACATAAACTCTGTGTATTCTAGAATTAAATAGGAATCTTATCCTTATAGAGCTTTGTTATAAATTTAAATGTAGAATTTCTCCTGTCAAGAAAGGAGACTTGAAGCTCTGAAATGTAAAAATACCCATTTATGACTCCTGAGTAGGAATGCCTGCATATATCTTCTCAGAGTTTGACATTTCACTTCAGTTACCATTTCAAGAAATGAATGATCTGAACACTCCAAAAGTTAATAACCCAAATTAATTTTAATAATTGTATAACTAATGCTATTAACATGTAGAAAGGTCAATAGGGCATATTGGAAGAGCAAGGATTCCTGACTCCCTATTTATTAGCTATTGTGTATAACTCCTCTGCCTTGTTTTTCTCCATAGAATGGATTTAATAATACCAGTTTCCCTAGGTTTTAAGAATTAATATATGTAAAGAGCTACAGTGTCTGGCATATGGTAAGCACTATAGAAGAATCTGTGGCAATAGTGAATATCTGATCTTTTTTCCCTTAATTTGAACAAGAGTTGTTCACATTACAATGGATAATAATACCCACTTGCTTATGATTTCTGGTCCCCAGACCCACAATTTTAATTTATTACTGAAATGTTACCAAATTGCCAAGAAACATATTAAATAAATCCTAGTAAAGGTTTAAAATTCTTCATATGAAGGCATGTTTCTTAGTGGGAAAGGGAGAAATTTATAATAAAAGTCACCCTTAATTCTTAAAGAGGAAATCTTGGGGTCTGGTTCCTATCCCAAACATTTCCAGGCCAAGGTATATGGTTTGACATCCACCATAGGGGATTCTGATGTGTTTCCTTTGCTGAGAACCATGTTTTTAGGTTAAATGTAAGAGAAGTTTGATTCTTGAAGAAAAATTCCATTTAGTGGCAGTTTATTTTAGTCTAGTTTTGAAAACTAGGCATCCAATGCAAAATACATTGATTATTCTAAAACTTCCATTTTTTTTAAACTTGTTTTTGTCATAGTGAAAGGTGGTATGTCTGTTTTTATATGATGTAGTTTTAATGCTGAGTATATCATTTATAAATAGCAAGGGAAAACATCAGGGGACAAAGGAAAATTTGATTTTTTTGTGATTGTGTGTGTGTAGATTATAATTTTATAGTTAAAATTAGACCTTTTATACGATGAAAAATAACATTTGTAAATTTAGCCAAAAATATATTTAAAGCTTTTAGCTAAATTGGATAATAACTGAAATACAAAAGAAGAGTATCTATTTAAGCCAGCAAGGTTTTGTATTTGTTAAAATCTTTAGAAGATTCAATAAATATCTGCTGAATTGTATTAAGTATTTGTATTATACTATGAAAGTCAGTATAAATAGCAGTTTATTAATTCGACAGTAAATATAAACATTCTTTATATCTAGGATTTTTGAGTTCCAAGTTAAAACAGAATTTTTACTGCAGTGGAGAGGAAGAGCATAGCAGGCAAAATAACAGGTAATTCTGTAGTTTTAAACACCAACCAAAAAAACCCCAATAATTGAATCCCCGTCATCCTGTATGATTTTTTTTAAAAGCATATCTATCTGTATAGATAAGTTCTTAAGAGGTTCAGAAACCAGTATTAAAAGAGATGGGACAGCTTAAGAATGTTTTGGATTGGGTTAGAATGAGTAGAAAAGATGACATAAGATGGAATTACATCTGTGTAGTTTTTCAGTTTTTTTCCCCTAACTTTTCAACTTATGTGTAAAGGTGGTTCTTTTGTGGCCTTTATACTTCATTAGTTGATTTTATGAAACCACTCAAGTCACGGAGATTTTTAAAATTGTCATTTGTTTCCCCAGTTAGTCTTTTTTTTTTTTTTTTTTAAAGCAAAGCTAAAGGAGCCATTCTTAGGAGGAGGAAAAGTTTGAAGAGCTACTTTTTCAAGTTGGGCCCCCAAATCATGGTTATTAATTTGCTCTTTGATTTCCCTTTCTTGGTGAAACTGATGTGCTTTTGTTTTTTCCCTTTCAAGCCCTGTACTTACTTTAGCAAGATGCAGTGAATTTGTGACCCAAGAAAGAATTCAGGCTTGGAGAAAACTTGATTCCATATCCTGAGAAACTAGAGTTGAAGCCTGAGATCTACAGCTAGGCTAGTCTTTAATAGATGGTAATTGTCCAGTTGTTCATTGCTCAGAAGTAGCAGGAAGGAAGAGTAAGTATCCCTTTGGTTCTTTTGCCTGGAGTGTTTTTTTTTTTTTTTCCCCTCCAAAAGTGCTGTCAGGTTAGTTGACCTAGCTTTCAGAAAGTGTGATGCGTTACTAATTTAGAAACAACTGATCTCTTAAATTTATATCCTTTTAATACACATTTTAGAAGTACTTTATGGCTTTTGTTATATTTTTGCAATGCTATTCTTTGCCCTGGTGTGAACATCTAAAATAAATATCCCAATTATTGCCCTACCAAGAAAAACTTTTTAAGCATTCCCCATGGCAGGGAGCAAAAGAATTGAGGGACTAGAAACATTTCCAAAATTACAGTAGATTAATTGGGAGTATTTTAAGTGCATTTCATTTGAGTCATTTTTCACAATCATGACTTGGAAGAAATATAAAACAACCAAGAGTAGAATCCTCATCCAGTACATCTTTTTCAAACTACACTGTATTAAAGAATCAGACATAGTCCACGAGAAAAGCAGTTTCCTTCTATCTGGACCATGGGCCAAGAAGATAGCTACTGATTTTACTTGGCAAGGCCAGCACTAAATATTAACTAGGACACTCATTTTCACAGAGGTTTATAGTATGCAGTATGATGTTAGTCCATAAAGACCAGATAATCACTAAAAATTGATGACACATTAATCTTATAAAGCCTTTATTTAAGAAATTTTAAAAGATGATCAAAAGTCAAGCCAGGAATAAATGCCTATAGTTCTAGCTATTTGGGAGTCTGAGGCAGGAGGATCACTTGAGCTCACAAGATCCAGACCAGCTTGGGTAACATGGTGAAACACTATCTCAAAAGAAAAGTACTACTACCATGGAATTGTGTTAATAGTAGACACTGAGCAAGTTATTTTCAGGGATGGAAGTGTAGCTCAGTGATAGAGTGTATTCCTAGTACGCATGAGGCCTTAGGTTCAATCCCCAGCACCACAATTTTTTTGGGTACTTGGGATTGACCCCGGGGGTGTCTTACTATTAAGCTACAGCCTCTCAGACAGGGTCTCCATTGCTAAGGCTGGCCTTGAATTTGGCAATCTTACTGCCTCAGACTTCTGAGTCACTGGGATTATAGCCATGTGCCACCACACCTGAGCTAAAATTCAGTATTAAGGAAATTAGAAGATTGCATTCATCAGAAAAAGTAGAGAAGTATATATACCTCTTATGGATGGAGGTACTATTCACATGTATTTTAGGAGTAGGGTGATAAGCTGCATGTATAAGCGGAATCCTTATGTTTCAAGATGAAGATAGTATTTATAGCAACTTTTCAGGGAGGCAACAGGCTCTATGAAGAGACTGAATAACTTGCTCAGTGTCTACTAAATGTTATAATGGGATTAAATTTAATTAAAACCCTTGCTTTTCCCCCATTATGCTACATTTGGTAGGTGTGTTGGAATCTGACTTTGATTTGGGTTAAGAATATTTAGGTGGAAGGATAATAAAAAACAGGGGAAAAGCAGCTGTTTAGTCAAGCGAAGGAAAAAAGCTTCTCAAAATTCCTAAAAGGCTAAACAGTTTCTTTAGGAGACAGGAACCAGGAGGCAGTAAGGAGCTTGGCCTTAACAATTCTCATTGCCTTTTAAAACCCCTTCATGATTCTAAAAACAGCTATTGCCATTTTTCTAGTCCACATTGTCATGGGGACTAGAAAAAGCATTTTTTCTGTATTTTCATATCTATGCCAGTCTGACTCAATGACTTCATTAGAATCCTTTGGTAATATAAGGGTCACTCAACAAGCATTTTACTAAAAGATCCTAAATAAGATTAATGAGGGTTAAGGCATCAAATGGGAACATGGAGACTTTTCAGTTTGCATAATGCTATAGTCAAAGGGATTCTCTAAAATGTTTCAAAATCAGATGAGGATGACAACTGTTTGTGTGACCTACTTGAAGCAGTTACTGGGTACCTGCAGTTAGGTTATGTAAAAATAGATGTTTAAATTTTAGAACAGAAGAGTGATTAAATTTCAAATTGGTATTAATTCTGGACTTCTGACATAGTACCAATGTAAACATTTGGGAGACAGTTGTGACTACTCATCCATATTTTTGCCTTCATGGAGAAGGGTATTTGTTAGAAAATAATTCTGGTATTCTTTATTCAGTTTTTGTTTCTTGTGTTAACTTTTGTGTCTTCATTTGTCTTTTTAAAAATTAATACTTCTTCCTCATACAATCTATCCATATCCTCCACCCCCACAAAAGGAAAACCAACCAGGGAAAGAAGAGTTTAGGGGCAAGTGAAATATGTACTATAGGTTTGTACAGCCCATTATCCTGTACACATACAACAAAATGGCAGCCCCTCAAGTTTGCCTGAATGTTGTCCCAAATTCCAGCCCTATGCCAAAGATGCCAGTGAATGCCATGGGAATAACAAAAGTCATTGGCTTCCATTTACTTTCCATGGTAATTTTAGTACAATCTTAAACTCTCACTTGGGAAAGTCAAAAGTAAGCAAATATATAGAGCAATATCTTGACCTAGCCAGGAATAATTATAAATGAAACTAGAAACAGTTTACTTGGGCCACAGAAATGAATCTGTTTTGTCATGTTTTTCATTAGTTCCCAGCACCTGAAATGTAGCAAGTCCTAGTACTGGGTTTTAAAGGCATGCAGTTTTCAAACACACATCTATTTCAAAGAGTTTCTTCCACTCAAACACAGCACAATCAAGGAAGACTTTTTTGAAGGAGGCACAGGGGGAGCACAAGAACAAGTGAGTATATATTATGTATATATGCTGAGGTCTTATGTATGACCCAGATGGTACACTCCATATAAAAGTTGTGAATGCTGTTTAAGTGCTACTCACAAAAGAATAGTCTAACATTAACACACAACTCAACTGCACTGCTAAATATGGTTGTCTTTATTTTCTTTTTCCTTGCCCAGCCCTATCTAAACATAAAATAAAACTACAGGACTGAAATTAACAACCCATTAAAATCAGCAATAAGTTATGAAAATCATAAAGCTTTTTTTTTTTAAGTAATTAAGGGTAGTTAAATTATTTAAAGTATACAAAGTCCAAACAGCTGGGGGTAAGGTCTCCAGGAAGGCTTCCCAGGGTAAGAGAGAGGACCAAAGGAAAACCTTGCAGTTTGAAAGACAAAGGGAACACATGACATCAAAGTGCAGGCTAGAAATTTCACTTCGAAGAAAATAACATTTCTGGAAACATTTATAAGAGCAACAATAGCACCTGCACAGGGGGATTGTGAAGAAGACTGCTTGTAGAAAATGGAAGCAAATCTTTACATTAAAATGAGACAAGTGCTGAACTTAACTATGTTAACTATGATAGTGTGTCTACTATGGATATCAGATGGTTAAAAGCTGGTAAAAGGTAATGATTCTAAAAGAAAACAAAAACAGCATTGACCTTTTTTCTACCTAGCCCAGACCTCATTCATTTTGTGCACTATAAAGAGTGAGGTGTGAGGTGTTTTATCATTATCAAATGCTGCATCAAAATAGATGATTTTTCCCATGTGTTTTTCCACTATAAAAGACATCTATGTTTACTTATGGACAAGCTTTAAAAAGATGTCATTTTGGTTTTCAACACATATAAACAGTTATCAAAATCTCAAATAAAAATGCTGCTGTGGCTCAGACCTTGGCCTGCTAATCTGCGTGCACAACTCTTCTGACCCATGCAGACACAGGCACATGGAGCTTTTTCCTTTTGGCTCCCCAATCCATACTCATAGGCCTTGTGTGATAGAGGCTGTCATGCATGGACTGCCCCCATGCAGCCCTTAGGCCTCGGGCTGTCGAGATGGCAGTTGGGTGCCCTAGTGCTAACAATGCAGGATAAGGTTAGCTTGTTTAGCATGGAATCCAACAGAAAGCTGAGCTGCATGATGATCCCTTTCAAAAGGCTTCATGGGAGTCTCTCCTTTTGTAGAGCATGAAATGAGTTTGGGTTTGTTTCATTTTTGTTTTAAAGAATTGATCATCCACAGGCTTCATGATAAACTGTCCGAGGCTGAGTTTTAATAGCTCCTTAGCTATCCAAGATTAATGCCTGATTATCTTTTCTTTACTACAGGTTTGATTTTTTTTTTCCCTAGGGCCATAAAGCTCAGGAATGGTTCATAATCCCATCTTTAAATGTGTCTACTCAACATAGTATGAGCAAACTAGAAAAAGAGGATGGAATCTCCAGTGTCCTCTGAAATCAATTAGATCAAATCAATATAATTTCACACAAGTTTTTTCATTGCCATTAGAAATTGTGATTTTTCCAATGTGAATATTCTGAATATATTTGTTCTGCTGGGGAGGCTCTACCCCACTTTTTGCTAAGTTATTTGCTTAAATACAGGTCTTCTGACCCTTTGTTCAAGTATAGTTTTGTTTAGCTTTATAGAGGAGACTGCATCATGAACCCAATTTAAGAGATTGTACTGAATTGGCCCAGTGAATATTTTGCCCTGCACTATTATGTCATGCTGGGTTCTAGGAAGTGAACGAAAGTTTGACACTGGCACTGGAGTAACCCTCATCACTCCCAATACTCTGCAGGCTGCTGTGGTCATCAATGTCACTGATGCTGGTGGTACTTATATTGTCCACTTCTCCATGGGAGAACTCTGTGCTTTCAACATCCACTTCAATCTCCTCTGCCAAAGGGGAAAAGAAAAAAGAAAAACATTAATAATCTACTCTATGTGCACCTTCAAAAATTAAAAGGCATGAGGAAAAGTGGCATAAAATAAAAGTTATACAACTAGTTTTTTATCAGTGAGCTCTGGAGAACAGAGAAACTGAAGATCAAAGAAATACTTTCTGTACAGGAGAATCTCTGGTATACAATGGTGGTCTTAATTTGGGCAGCAAGTTTACTAAAACCCTGTTGACGCCAGTCAGTCTGGACCTCCCACCAATCTGGGAATTATTAATTAATATTAAAAGATCCCAACCCAAGTGGTTTAACAACATCTGTCTTACATTAAACCAAAAACTAATTCTCAGTGTTGTTTACTAATCAAGGTTGACTAGCAGAGGGGGAGCACAAACCTAAAAACAGACTAGGGGCTGAAGGTATAGCTCAGTGGTAAAGCACTTGCCTAGCATGCACAAAGCCTGATTCCAATACTGGAAGGAAAAGAAAATAGCAAACTAGAAAATCTACTCATTCAAGCCTTTGGGGATACCATTCTACAGATAGTTCTACAGACTTCAAAGGTTCATAGTGAAGATATTTTGCTATTTAGTAGTTAAAATAAGCCATTTGTTATAAAGTAGATTTTTGAGGGATTTGTCTTTAATTTTCTTGCACCAAATACAGTTTGAAGTTCCCGCCTCCTCCCTTGTCTTTTCGGTTTGTTAGGGATGAAACCCATAGTCTTGTACATGGTAAGTGGTCTGCCACTGAGTTACATTCTCAGCCCCAAATATAGCTTGAAATAAAGACCTGAAGCTTAAAATAAGTCTCTGAATTATAGTGAGATCTATAGGATTACAGGAAAGGCATTTTGAGTGGTGGTATTTAACTTCAAAACCCAAACAAACCCTTAAACACGTATATGATGTCTATATAGACCTTGTCAAATACTACATATACTATCACCAATACATTATAACAACAATACACAGTTTAAAAATAAAAGTTAAAAATTGTTTTATCCAATAAGGGCTAGAATAAAAATAGGATTTTCCATTCCTCTGTGACAAACTCTAAATATGTGTTTCACATTTGAATTAGATGAAACAAGAATGACAGAATGTTGACAGCTATTATAACTGAATGATGAGTACATGAGAGTTAATCTATTTTCTCTATTTTTGAATATTTTGGAAATTTCCTTAAAAAGGGCAAAACAAAAAAAAAGACTTAAAAACTTAGTGTCACTTGTATAATATTTTAGAATGTTTAAGATCTCATTAATTCTGTTTTTTCAAATTTAAGGCTCAAAATCATCAAGGTTCACCTCAGGATTTTCTATTATGGTATAAGGCCTGAGCTATAAAGTTCAGACTGTTTCTTTTTGGCTGACTTCTTTTCTATAATTCTGCCAAAGACAAATGTTTGAGGACAGGCAGAAAGAGTAATGAAGGGTGTGGTACTTTAAAATATACATTAAGAAATTAATATCACCAGTAATAAAACATAATTCAGTATTTTTTCTGAAACAATGAAATGAAGGGCACAACGTCACTTAAGTGATATTTCTTGCCCCAATTCAATAATTTTAAAACTTCAGACAAACTCAAATTGAGGAATACTGTATAAAAAGATTGGCAAATACTGCAAAATGTTATGGTCACGAAAGAAAGACTGAGGAATAGCTAATGCAACAGGGAACGCTGCATAGGATCCTAGACCAGACAAAGGATATCAGTGGGAAAAACTACTAAATTTTGAGTAAAGTCTGCAGATTACTTACTAGTATTATGTCAGTTTAATTTCCTGGTTTTAATAACTCTATTATGGTTATATAAGATGTTAACATAAGGGAAAACTGAGTTAAGGAAGGTGGAGGGCCCTACAATTTTCTACAGAAAACTTTAAAAGTATTTCAGAATGAAAAGTTTTAGGTAGGTAGATATATAACCCCCACCTCCCCAGAATAAGAATTACATAGTTCACACAGGCAAGACTATACAATGTTGTGAATACATAAAATGTCAGTGTTGGCTAAAAAGAAAGCAAATACAGTGTGCCTCCCTAAATCCAGATACAGAGATGCTTAGTATTTCATTAGAGAAAAGGCACACTGCCTACCTCGCTCTGAATCAGAACGATCTGAAGAAATAGTTGATCCAATGCTGTCCATTCGTATTCGTTCCATTTCTTGAGGACCCTGCAGCTGTTCCAGTCGCCGCTTTAAAAATCTCTGTTCTCGTTCCAAGTTCTCAAGCTGGTGCTGGCTTTTCCTTTCAGCTTCTTCAAGTTTCTAGGATGATGAAATGATATTTACATTGTGGATAGTACAATACAAACATTAACTTATTTCTACCTGATATCTTAAAAGATTTCTTCTTTGGCTGAGAAAACAAGTGAATATACAAGTGTCTGCATATATAAAAACATATAAATTCATATTTTTAAACATCAAAAGAGTCCTGTCTTATTTGTGTATGACTGCATATAAACAAGACAGAATTTTAAAAGTCTGTAAAGTAATCTCTATAAAGGACAGACTTCCTCTGCAGTGTGGTATTTGATGGAAAAATACTGAAGGACACAGTCAAATGAAGTCATCTCCACCAGAGGGCACAATGGTCTTCCTTGTAGATATCACAAGAGTAATTGTTATTTTTCTAGCATTCTCATTTCTTCAAATGGCCACACTGTCAAAACAATTTAGTTTTATCAGGTTATGTTGCTCCACTCAGATTAGGTGATCAATTTTTAGAAAGATTTCTTTTAAGGTCAGTTATTAAGGAGGGCATGGTGAGCCAGCTAAAGTATATGAACAGGAATCATTGGTAATAACTAAACCAGGACCCAGAGAATCATGTGCAAATCTGAAAGTAAAAACTCTCACCTTGATGTGTGCTTTGGCTTTATTGAGCAAACCAAGTGTTGTGTGCCTGGTGCAGTCTGGTCCTAGTGGAATCAGAACTTTTAAGCGTTCTAAACACAGGCGCAGATGAGCTCGTCTGAGACCAAAAAAAAAAAAGGTCAAATGAGCACAATCTGAAATATTTTACTGGAAACAGCATAAAACCTATTTTAAGAAAATAATTTGGGATTATTCAGCCTATAAGCAATTCTTCAAAGTATCTGCAAGTATAGAGGTGTCTGTATTTCAGTCCCTCCCATTGTAGTCTGAAGACACCAGTCACTTCATACTATACCCAATGGTAATCTGTCAAGAGACAGTTTATTTTTTAGTCTACCTTATAAACTGTCAACTGTATTAATGTGGAATACTAATAATACAGCAAAAAGTACTTGATTTTGAATGCCTAAAACCATGCACCAAAATAGGGGTTTTCAGATAGGCTACCCCCAAGAAGTATAAAATGCACACAAATTTCCATTTCCCCTCATCTTTTAATTATACAAATACAACCCTACCTCTCTGCATTTATAGCCACCCTACAGTGTGTTACGTGTTGTCATTATGTATTATGCTGAACCAAATGAACTTCCTGATCCTCAACCATTTCTCACTTAAAAATTCCCAGTTTCCTATCCATGTACAAGAAGAGCTCATTAGCTTTTCTTTTTCTCTCTTCCTCTCTTTCACTCCTTAACTCTTCTATACAAGAAAATAGATGATAATTCTTTACTGAAGTCACTGCATCCTCAAATCCATCTATCTTATGGAAAAGTCAGGGAAAGTTTTTTCCTGGGAATGCTAGGAAAGCCTCATGGATTTATCTTCCTCCCTGTGCTCTAATAGAAGCCATGATTGTGATGATGAGAATAACTACCTAGTTTCATCCTAAAACAGTATCTGTTCTTATCTTTGGTTCTGTGCTTCTTAAAACATAATTCAGTAGTTAACAGATATGGGAAAAAATACGCAAATGTATTCATAATTTCCCCTTAACTCGTTGAGAGAGCTGTAAATGAAATGTTTAGCAACTAATTTAGCTGCACTGGGAACAAAACACACTCTCCTCATTTTCTTCTCAAAGAGGACCAAAATGGGTTTACTAGCTCTGTCAAGAAATATTCTATTTCTTAATACACAAGAAATAAAAAGTGAAATATCCAAATGCTAGCAATGTTAAAAGGTAGAAGAAGGCAATAAGCAGCCAATTATGTCACTGACAAGGATGATTAAAGGTAGTGAAGTCAGGGGTTTGGCTGATGAACTGTCAAGATTCTTATAGTGCCCACTAGTCTAGCTACAGTTAAAGATCTTTTAAGACTTTCCATTCCAAATCTATTGCACTCATCATCTCAAGTTTAATATTTGGCTCAAGGCTGTGCTGACATATTTGATGTGGATAAAGGCATGTTTTTATTTTCTCTGAATTAAAGGTGTATCAATGGAGTCCCCTTAAGATATTTAATAATTTTTAAAGTCACTATGCTCCTCTGCTATGCTACCCAAATCTCTTTAAAATGAAGAATTTCACATGATCAGACTGCTCTAGATGAGCAGATCAAAAACAAAAACCATATACAAAATAAAAACTGCCTTTATATTCTTCATTAGGATTATTATGGCATATGCCAAACAAGTGCACTCATATAAGACTGTAGGATGGAGAGAGAGACTGGTGGTTCTCTGCTAATTAAAGGCTCAGCTCTGGATTCAGCCTTATTTTTTTAAAAAAAAATGCAACAAACAAAAGCAACTAGTAATGTTTGCACATAGTACCTTGCCACAAGAACAACTCTGACAATTTTGTTCAAATTTCTAATTTCAGAAATCTGGTATATAATTGTTTCTTAAAGAAACTTCTGACTCCTTACTATAGTTTCATATCAAGAGTAAAAAGGGTGGGTCAATTTTCTCTTTTGTTAGACTTATTGAAACCTACACGTAACATTACAGTCTTTTTTCTCTCTTTTAAACATTATTTGTGTACTTATTAAATGATTTTTGTGAACTCGGCATTGTTCCAGGTATCTGCTTGAGGGAGAAGAGTATAAAGTGAACTTTTAAGAGTTTATAAGCAGACTACAACATGAAACATACTATTTGTTTAGTATCATTCTGAAGTAAGTTGTGTAGATATCAAGGGCAACACACTGAAAAAGTGGAGACATTCCAAATGAAGGAGACAGACTTGTAAAGGAGGCTGAAACTTGACTTTGGATTTGAAGGACGTTGAACTTCTCTATGAAGAAGAAAGTATTTTCCATGTAATTAAAAGAGAATGAAAGGACTTAGGTTTATAGTTGAAAAATAAATTTAAATCTAAGATTAAAAATACCTGTTTCATTCATTCAAGAGAAAACAACTTAGTTGGCATTCTATAAGGAAGATCAGCTAAGTTGAACTGTCTGGTGACCTTCAATAAATTACTTTAAAATTTATTAAGTAATAAATCAGGAGCCGAGACCAAAGGAGTAAAGGCTTAAATAATGCTTAAATGAACTGAAAAGGCAGAGTCCCCTTTAAAAAAAAAAATCTGTTTTATTAGACACTCCTGAACATTTCTTCAGTTATTTAATTGTAAATCTGCTCTTTAAGATACAGCTTACACTAAGAAAACACCCTGAGAAGACTTATCTCACAAAGGCCAGGGATGCTATTCTCCATGCTTTGCAAATACAGTTCTCCAAAACAGACACTGGCTTGAAGGATGAGCAGTAAGTGATGTTTGCTCTTCTAAGGGAAGAGGTCTATTTGTGGGAGCTAAGTATAATTTCCTTCAGTGTTTACACTTATAAATGAAACAGGCATTTGGAGAGTAAAAATAACAAAGGGTTAATGGCAGCTGAAAGTCAGTAGCTGATCACACTTTTCAGAACACGATTCATAAAATACACTTTCCACTTGTGTCTATGTGCCACTTAAGCAAAGGCATCCTTCAAAGAGCAATGGATATAAATCGCAAAGAGTTAAATCATATTTTCCTTGTTGTGTAAGTTTTTTCTCTCCAACAAATTCCTAGAAGAAGAAATGTATGGCAAATTACTCTTCCCTTACCATGGTGCTGCTCTCTACACTTTACCCTATAGTCTCCCTGCTGTTAACCAGATTGCAAGCTTAACCACCAATGACCTAGAAAGGCATATCTTTTGATGCCATCTGGCCTTTTCTTTTCTTGTCTTCTTTCTCATGTGACTGGTAGCTCAGGATCCTCCTGTATGGGGTTGCCAAATCATGGGCTGTACGACTTTGGGGAAAAGAAAGCAGACAAGAAACAAAGAAGAAAAAAGCTTGGTTTGGTTTGAAAATCCTTATTTACTGAGAAAAGATAACATGCAAGTATCATACAATGTTTTTCAAGTCTCCAGAGAGTAGAAGAGCTGATACAGAGAATAGGCATGGTCCTGCACCTGACATTATAAGATTGATGGAACCAAACTTAATGGAAAATTACTTTTTAAAAAAATTTAGCCCCCTGGTTAGCATTTACTTAACTTTTATTTAGCACACAGGTATTCTTTTAAACACATGGAGAGCTCAATAAAAGCTATAAAAGCCAAAATCATTCCTAAATTAGTATGAGTGATAGTAAAGCAAAATTAGGATCAGATACTGTAGCAAGAAGGTGACCTATGAGAAAACTCAAGTGTCTTGGCGGGGGCGGTGTTGCTAGAGAATGGAGAGATACTAATGTTCTTTTATTTTCAAAGACAATATGAAGGTTGTTTTAAACTGAGATTCAAAAGTGGGTTTTACCCAGGGAAAAGGCAATTTGCAGTTACTAACCCTGTTAAGTGCACATACCTTTAGAAAGGACAAGCCCTTATGGGAAAGAGAACAATTAAAGTCTGTTTGCTTTTTGTTTGAGTAGAGTGGGATCATTTTTCCCTAAAGGAACCAATGTTGCTTTTGGTCTCAAATCCTGTAAATATACTGCCAAACTGATGTATCATAGAATAATAAAAGGAAATAATTTTGCTGTAAAATGGCCCCTCGTAGCAGCTATAATATTTTAAAGCACAGGTATATCAATCTATAAGAAGCATACGTTGTTGTGGGAGAAGAAAGAATTTCCTTTCAGGGTGGAAAAAAAAACAACATACAAACTGCAAGCATCATATGACTATGCTTTTCAATTCTTAAATTTTGTCAACTTGCCTCTGGAAACTCTAATCCCCCTAACCCAACAATAAGAAATCTAACCCTTGCCCACCCCACAAACTGTTTATTGGCTGATGCTGCGGGAGGCACAGTCCTGCACTGGAACTTGCTCGCCTTTCATTCCTCCACTACAGGATACCAAGACTTTGCCAAGTAACTAAATCAAAATGGAAAACAAGTCAAGTGATAGGGACAGAGCTTGTATTTTCCTCTCTGCTGAATGTTACACAATGGCCTGTGAGTCCTCCCATGAGCCACATTCTTCAAAGCTGTGGTGGCTTGTGGCCAGGTTTCTCAACTCCCCACAAACACACCCCTGCACGCACATGACAGCAGCTAGCTGCTTATCCTGAATACCAAAGTTTTTCTAAAATTTAGTTTATGTTGAGAATATTATAAAACTCTCCAAAGATACACACACACGGCCTGACTTTTATGTGAAACATGGATCCAGATAGGTCAAACACTACACTGTTCATGAATTTTAATTACTAAAACATATATGATCACATTCTATTGTTCAGCATTTTCTGTTTATGAAATAAGCTAGATAAGCTATTCCTATAAAATGGTATTTGATAATTATGTTTCTCCTAAAACTTACAGATTATCTACTTCACAGAAAATAAACAGACTATTAACTCCCAGGTAGTAACTTGGCAAGTGACATTTCCCTAGCGTCAGACTTGACTATGGTAGTCATGGGACTCAATAACAACAAATAAAAACAGGAGAGTAGCTTGGACCCTCTTTTCACTTTTCAAAAAGCAGCTGATTTCACTTAATATTCCTCTTAATTGGTAACTTGTATAATAACCAAATTGGAGTATCAAGTATCATAATGAAGTTGCAAATTACAGAATGTATGCTACATTATGGTCCAATAATATAAATTTTTCTATTGTACCATTATTTTCCTCAGCATGAAAGGGTTCATCT